ATGATTGTTTTGATTATTTAGATGTAGATAAGAAACAAGAGGACGTAATTTTACAGCCACCATTAATTCCTATGAAAATAGTAGATGATTTTGAAGATGTAGATAAAGAATTGGAAGAAGAGCTAGAAAATATGAACTTGGATGATATGGAATCAACGGTAACACATCATGTGTAATCTAATTTATTAACAGTTTTCTTGGTACCTATACCTAACCTTGGTGACCTAACCTATAAAAGCTGAAGAGAAAGGCTTAGTGGGGCATGATGGTTGGCCACAGTCACTATGTGTTCTGAGGTCAAGCATTGGCCGGTGTCAATAGCTCCCCAATGGATGACCATCCTGGTTTTTTAGTGACAAATCCCTGCCCCATATATAATATTATTATTAATATAGATATGTTCAAACCAACAGTAAAAAACCGGCTAATAACCATGCAGTTGAAGCTTTCAAAAAAAGCTGAAGAGAAATTGAACTATTAAGAACTTAAAGTGAACAAAAAAACATAAATATCAGGATAGTGTTGATAAGATATAATATTTTTTAGAGATTTGTGTTTTAGTTTTCAAAAGTTAAATGTATAGTAGTATACAGATTAAATTCAGGGAATCATATTTTCCAGATTTTAACATAATATGATGGGATGGTCAAATCCATATTAGATAACGATATAAAACATTTTAAATATTTTTGTAGAATTGTAGGAATAACAATTCCTTTAAAACGTTCATTTGTGAAAATAGAGCTAATAAGTTGTACAATTTTAATAGTTTTTTCCTATATGTCTGATTTAATATATTTTAACTCTGAAAAAAAACAAAATGTTGGTAACTTATGCATTATATTTCCTTCATTTTATTTTTTATTTAATTCGCTTTAACAAAACGTTAGGTTATTTTATGATCACTTTTTTTTTATTACTTATTGTTGATGATATTAATATATTATGTTATTATTATACATCATCTAAAGTCTTAGGTGTTACCTAAATCTGATATGATTTACTTTTTCAATTAACATTTGACTACACATCTGTTAATTATAAATGTATGATTTTCGAGACTGAATATGAAAATAATAATATTGTTAAATGTTTTTAGGGCATTAATATTGATGCGGAATTATCTGATGATGATGATGATGATGACGATTATCCTTGAATAAATAAATATATAGTATAATACATATTTTGTAATATTCTTTGATAACATGTTTGGTGAGTATCCAAAGCCTCACTAAATTAATAATGCAATGGCTTTTAATTGTAAAAAATACTATTATATTTAAAATGGAAATTATATTATAATCTTTGTTTTTATTAATTATATTCTTATTTATGATTTATTTTCACACAAAAACACGTTGTTCATTCATTCCATTTGCTGTATTAGTGTTATTAATTTAATAATAGTAATATTAAATTAAGGTTTAGAATTATGAATAACCATTCATAATTTATTTTATTTTAATTTTTTTTTGTTTTTGTTTTAATGAATACAATATTTCAAATAACAGCATATTAGTATTTAATATTACTTATATTTTTTACCATTTTTTGAATTCATAGTACTCAAAATTTATTTTATAAAAATAATATGTTTAGTACCTGTTCATTATTTGGAGTTTCAGGTAAATGCATTTAATTTTTTGTACAGTATTAAGTCTCAAAACTGTTGACACCAAGAGTATTTACACAATGATAAAATATTATTTAACTCTAACCTAATGTAATATAAATAAGTATATACTATTTTATATTATATTATTGTATTATTACATACTTACTATACCTATGTGTTTATAGTGTGAAAATATATTTCAATATTTGTTTTTATTTTACATATTTTTATTATATATTATAGTCTTTTATGAAAAAACTAGTTTGAATTTATCAAAATATACTTAGCCATTTACAAATTTAATTGTTATTAAATGTATGAAATTCAAAAGAATTTTCTTGAGCATTGTTTTCCAACAAAATGTAATCATTTTAACTTTTTATTTAGGCCCACAGAAATGTTATATATTATTACCCTAGATATAACTACATATATAGAAATAAAATAGACAAGGAAGTGGATATTTATCAGGGTTTTTGGGAAGATGTTAAATGGGTCACTGTAGTGGGTGTGTTAATTTGAATTCAATGATATATCATTGCATATGAGTGGAGGCTATGTTAGCGTAGGATACTTAATACTATATTAATATTTCTATTTTAATTAGTAATAATAGGTTGGTGGCAGGTGCTTACCTATTTCCTACCTATTATCCTAAAATTATCAGTGATTTTTTGGTTACAGTATTTACCACTTACTAGAAATGTATTGATTTCATTTATTATTTTGCCTTAAGAATTTGACATTTTATAAATTTTTAATTTGAAAATGTATGTGATTTTAACAAGCATTTTCAACATGTGAACTTTAAATGCTTATAAAAAAAAATTGTAACTATAATATTTTTAAATTATTAATAACAACTTATGAAAAACATTGTTTTCAGATTTTAAGCTTATTGTAAGAACCAATAACTTTATTGGATATTAACTCTGCCATATTAGTAAAGTGGTAACTAACAGATGGACAGACACAACGGGGATCTAAGGTGTTCTATACTTCCGTTTACATAGCAACCTTTTTTTTTCTTTATTTGCATTATATATCTATACAATTTGAGTACACTAAGCGTAAATGATAATATAGAAAAACAGACATTGAAAATTTAATTTGGATCAACACCACCACCCCCCCCCCCCCCCCGAAAATAAATAGTTGCGTAAATTATTTATATCAATCATCGATAACTACAATAACTGGTCGGTAACAATTTGTTTATGACCACCCTCCTCCCTAAATTATTTTTGTGTACGTGCCTGCCTAAATACTGAAAATGAACTAAAAAAATTGAAAGTGTAAAATGTCTATAAATAGCACAAAAAAAAGTATTTAAGAAATTTTACTGTGTCTAAAATATTAAAGTATGGTAATTAAATATAATTATTTTGGTGAAGATTAATTCATAATTTTTAATTATTCATTTTTGAGTTACAACAAAATGAGCAATACCGATTAATGATTATGTCAACATTGTCAACAATTTATGAAATTGTGATATACCTATAGGGCCTAAGATCAAAATATTAGTATACGATCTAATTATAATCGGCATAGGTGCCGCATAGACATAATATATTATAAACAATAACATTATATAGGTATTTATAATTTATATGTCTGCTATGGGCTGTACTGATAAGTGATAACCAGCTCAGTCGATCATTAATTTCCTACGTCGTAAAAATGTGATAAATAACGTAGTTTCCAAAAGTTCACGATAGCTTAAGAATGGCATACAATTATTCTTAGATTGAATATTTATATGATAATTATGAATTTTACTAATTTGGGAAAAACAAACTAATATTTTTATTTGCAGGTAGACAATTATTATTTGTAGTACCGACGTGATCATAAAATAAATTAAAAATAGACATTAGCATACTTGGTGGTGGGGATGGAGGTGATGACTGTGAGAGTGTGAAAACCCCTAACTTATGTACAAAATATAGTAATAATTAATTTCTAGCAATAACATGTTTGGGTTAATTGGGTAGGTACATAACGATATATATATACCAGGGAATTTCGGGAGAACGATGGCCACATTTTTCAGACATCTAAAGGCAAAAGTGAATTATTCAAAACAACGTTAGGGCAAATCATATTTAATATTAAATCATAATCCTACTTATTATATTATATTTAATCTATATAAATCAACAACATTTATTTTTGTCTTTTGTATATTTGCATTCATTTTTTTTACCATAATTTTTCCCATCGACACCTGGATCAATCACATACATTTTCCAAATATATTTTATTCTAAGTGAACAGACCCTGTGTTTAATATTGTACCCTAACGTGTTGGACTTTGGGTTGATGTGTACATCGTGTATACAACAGCTGCAGGTCTAAAGCCGAAAGTGATAGTGCGATTGGTGAATGGTGATTAGATCTTTTGTCCAGATTATCAGACTATATTCTGTATAAGTATAATATACCTATTGGCTATTAGTCTATTACTATGATTTATACAGAGTGTAGTTGTAGTAGTTGCACTATAGTGGTATACCATTATACCAAATTTGAATATTGCTGAAACCTATATATTATGTGTGTAATAATAGGAATATAGGATAGCATTTTTTTTATGTTTGTATCACATTTTGTTTTTAACTTTTACCAAAAAGCATTTCATAAAATGTTTCAAAAGAGTTCAAGAAACTATATGAGTGGATCTGACCCCACATCATCCATTTACCTAAATTTGTCTGTGTGCTTGTTCTTAATTTTGATCTCGAGTAATCCTCGGGTCAATTCTACTGTTTTTAGTATAAGTAGTAGTGAACAAAATTTTAGGCACTCACACAATAATTACCTAACATTTAAAACAGTAAGTGCTTAGTTAAATTGGACTTGGTGTTTTGGGTCTAAAATTGTATGTACACCTACTATAGATAATACACTTATATGTACCTAATTATCTATATTGATATTTATTACACAGTGGTAATCATTATTGGATCACAGACTGTGATTGGATTAACATAATAACTATAATAAATCATCTTTATTTTAATTATTTAAATCACAAACTGTTAAGGCACTTAATGTAGGTATATATATTTAACAATAAGATACCTACTAAAAATATTAATAATGGCTATAAAATCCTAATATTTTATTATACAAAAATACAAAATTAATAAAAATAATATTCATATATCAGAGGCAGACTTATTTGTATTTGTTCATAATTTAAGCTCTTAATTTTTGTTTGTACTTTTAAAATGTTAAGTAAATTCTAATTATACTTAAATTATTATTATGTATGACATTTTTAAATTTGACGTAAAAATATATTCTCTTCCTTAACAATATAATACTGACTGTTAATACTAAACATATTTATAAAATTATATTTTAATAATGTTAATTCAATTGTTTTGGTATACATACAATTTAATCCATTTGGTAACAATATTTAAGAAATAAATATTCTGTGTTTTGTTGCTTTGACATTAAGCTAAAAACACAATAATATATAATTAACACATACTTATAAGTATAAACAAGTGCTAAACTTATTAATACTTACAAATTAACAAAATCATTTTTAAATTAAATTAAATATTTTTTTTTTTTAGGAACCTACTAAAATAATAAATATGTTAAACTTGGCCTGCCTCTTAGAATCCCCTTAGTAACGCTTACTATAATATTAGTACTTCATAAATTAATAATTATATAAACTTTGAATTCAGATAAAAATGCCATGTAATACTAATACATTCTAAGTTACATTTCTTTGTTACCTACTTATTATTAATGCATTAAATGTAAACATTATATCATAGAACCATATAAATGAGTGCATAAAGATTTACAAATCGTTTTTCATAAATAACATTTTTGTCGTGAATCTGTAACTTCAAAATCTACGTTTGGGGGTTGTACCTCAAAATGGTCAAGGTTCAATGTATCTTGTGTTTTTTCCAATAAATTCAAATGTTCATCTTTCACTAAATCAACAGAAGATATTTAATTAAAAAATGATTGGTACATTCAAATATTAATGATTTGAAAATTGTCTACCTGAAATCATATGATCTGGAGAAGATGTTGATGTGGCCCAATAAGAATACTGAAGAGTAGTATCTGGTAATACCTCTTGTTGTTGACGCCGTTGACATTGTGGATATGTCCCACCAAAAGTCATACTTGGGCTTGCTAAAAAAACATAATATAACAAATAAAGTAAAATGAAAATATTTTGTTTTCAATCAGACATAATTAGATTTTGATTTTTCTTACCCATAGTTGTTGGTAAATGATTGTAATTTGAATGATTCATTGATGAGATCTGAACAGATTGCACTGGTTGCAACTAAATTTAAGATTAAGATTAATAATTAATAAATAATAATTTGAATTATATAGTTGGAATTTGAATGAATAATATGGTCTTCAGCTCCAGAGATAGGTGAAGGAGTACCATTTACCGGGTGATACAAATGTAAGACACTCAGTATTTCTAAACAATTTTTTTTACTTAAGTAATTTATTGTAAGTTGTTAACTGACTTATCATAAAATATTTGCAATATTATTTATCCTTATCATTTTTTAATTATTTTTAATACTTAATCTAAAGTGGAACATTTTTGGAATACTTTAAGTATCAAAATAAAATTGTTGACTAGATTTTATGAGTATTTCAGGAATTGAAGTGGAGTGGAATTGCACTGAGGTACCCCACAAAATGTTAGTCATATACTCATATACTCTGCTCATCAAAACTTTTAATAATTATTATAATTTATAACTAATAAACTACCTGTCAGAAATTTGATTTTTATAGATCGAAAAAGGTATTCCGAAAAATATTCTGCATAGGAATAGGTACCTATGAAATTGAAAATGTACCATGTCATTCAAAATAGTAAACAATTTAAAAATGATAACGGTAAAAATAATTAATTTAAAATTTTTTTATAAAGAAGGTTTTGTAACGACTTAAAATTATGTAACATAAATATTTTCAAAAACATTAATTTTCTGAAATAATAATGAGTAGGTACTAGGTAGCCTAGTAGGTAGGTTCCTACCTATCTTACGCAAATTGTATCACCCCGTAGACTGTACCGACTTACTAGTTATCATATTAATTGAATATTTATTAATATTGAAGAGAAATTAACTAAAACTTACCTGAGATGATAGAGGAAAATGCAATTGGTGCGTTTGAGGAACTGCCGAGTAAGGTGATATAGGCCAACTATTACTGAAATAAAAAAATCAACTTTATTGAATATGCAATGCATACCTAACTACAATAATGATTGATAAAAGTATCAAACCTGTGATCAAATCTCGGTGTTACATTTGGATTTGAACCAAAATTTGTAGGATGTGATCCTAAAATACCTCTACTATAATCTGGTCCAAAATAAGTTCCAGGTCTACTATAAGGTGTTGTTCTATATGGTCTTTTCATTCTTCGACGTCTTCTATAGTTTCCATTTTCAAACATGTTATCGTATTTTGGATCTAAATAATAATTGTTAATAAAATACAGATGGATAAAAAAAAAGATTAAATAAATAATGCAGCTGATTATAAATTGTTCAAAATTAGACAGCCCGTGGGTGTTTTAATGCGTTACAATAAGCATAGATAAAGGGATTGAATTGCTTGTTTTGTTTCTTTTCGTGTCCTCGGTTGGAACTATAAACATTCTTTAGATAAGTTACTGTCATTTACAAAAAAATAACACAGGGAGTAGGGACCAGTTGATTTTTAAATATTATTGTGTGTGTAAATAAAATAAACGAAAATTTTTATTCTAAACCTTTAAATATGATATAATTTCAAGTATCTATACAGAGTAATAGTTAAGTATAATATATTATATACTAGCTTACATTGAATCATCATCCGTTCGTCAACATTAGATTTTTATTTAGTTATTTTAAATGTAATATCATATAATATATAGACAATATGCTTATTTCACAAATTTATGTAAAAACACAAAACTTGACCGAATAAGAGAATATTTACTATTTACTATTAAAATAACCACTATGTATATAGGTACTATGTAATAAATAATAATATGATAACTTTTTATCTATTTTATATTTTTATTTGAATACATATAAACTGTAAGAATATATTATTTACAGTAAACATATGTGATGGTTATCCAGGTTAGGTTAAAAAACACGAATAACAAAAAAAGAATTCATCTAGCAACGGAACAAATATGATTCGGAGCAGCACATGTGCGCACTTTCGCATTTTTCACACGTAAGTAACATAACACAATTACAAAAGCCAAAAGGGCAGTAAGAATTGTTGAGAAATATTGTTCAATAAGTGAGCATTTGTGTTGAGATTTTTTCTGATAAAACTTAAAGAAGCAAAAGAGTGCGTAATCATGTTATGTCTTTATTGGTTATTAAATGGTATAAAGTAATCTCAACATCTTATATCACCAGGAATCCGAAAAACCCTGAACCCACCAACAAATTTGACAATAATCACTTACACGCTTACACATTAATTTATATACAACAGTTACTCTTTTTTGAAAAGTTTGATCACATTTTCAGGTACCTACACTAATAAAATTTTGATTATCTTTTATATTGGGTATTGCAGTGTACATCCAGAGTGCTAAAATGTATTTAACGTGCGAGTTTCTAATTTTCTATTCTTAAAGATTAAAAACACGAGAAATCGATTGCGTTAAAGGTAAGTCGCTCAGTATAATACAACATTATTATCTTCATCCTTTATAAGGCTATTGGAGGTTATTCTGCCTTATCGCACTTTAGCATAAGGTCAGCTATGGCCCAACCTTAGATTGATCGATAATTCGATTTCAATTTACAATATTAATGTCTACGTTACTATACACTAATTTTACAACATAATATTGTTAGTACCCCAATAATTATTTATAAATTATAATGTTTCTATTTTCTAAATTCGTGTAATTCAAAGTCAGGTATTTAATATGACAAACAATTTTTTCTTTGCATATCTGTTACCACGACGTCTTTAGTTGAACATCGTCATCAAACTACACTTATATAAGTTCCAATAATGTATTATATTATTATAATTTTGTTGTTTTATGGTTTACTATCGGAGTGGTACACCGGAGACACCGAGTATACGTCAATATCCTTCATTTGTAAGATTTAGGCTTTTATCTTATGTATTTCGTAAATTTAAAATCCCCTATAATATTAAATAGTGAAATAGTTGGTCAATCATTGGTAGGCTGGTAGCTTACTATGGTAAAATATACTTTAATACTAGACACTAGTACTTGTAAAAGTACTGTAAATGAGTAATTTTAGAAAACAAATTTCATGACATTTTAAAACCCTAGATATAAGTCAGTGTTATAAGACTAAATCGTCAGAGTTTTAATTTAAAAAATTTAAAACACTATTATATATGGCCGGTTTATCACTGTTTTACTTTCCTACAATACAATTTTTTTTTTAATTGTACTACATATTTAAAATTGTTATTACATATTTTGGTCGTTTTAATTACATATGTGTACATATTTTTCTTATATATTACAGAAAAAAACTTCCCTTTTATGATTCAAGCTTTGTCGAATTCGTTCTTTAATATTCGGTGTACTTAAAGGTGTTCAAAACTTTAAAAAAAAAATGGAATGGAATAAAAGATTTATTTTTGAATTGGAGGATAGTAATAAGCTACTTTTTTTCTCTACAGCTAGCAGAAATAAACTAATATGCGGTGAGAATTTGAGTAGCTGTTATGCCAAAATAAAATTGCTGGTTTAATCTATTATCTACAAATCCTACACCTTCCCCGAATCGTCAAAATCTTTCGATTATTTTTTGATTCCATCATAAGTCTCACTGCCTCAGGCCCTCAGCCATTTTGTTTTATTACGTATTTATTGTTTTTGTCTTTGGAAGCTAAACCTTAAGGCATGACTTTAAAATTAGGGAACAATAAAATGTACAATAATATAATAAAATTTATAATTTATTTTTAAACTTATTGATTATGACACTGCAGCATGCGGCATACTTTTAAAGGAAATTGTCTTAATTATTCACGAACCAATCGCTTCCAACACGAATTATTATTTATTTTATGAATAATAATAAATTGTATTTTTTTTATTGTTTATCAAAATTTTCACTTAATTAGTTGAATTTATACATTTTTAAATTAAATAATCAATTACCCTAAAATAATTTTTTTAAGAAAGAATTGTATCTGAGATTATCATGCGGGTAAAAATGTAGTAACCAAATATCAAACACAGGTTAAAATTATATCCAATCATAATCATAATAACAATTTTTATCTTATGGCAACCAATTATATTTTAAAAATACTAATTTCTACTATAACTATTATAATTTTTAACCAATGGCAACATATTAATATACAAACAAACAATTTCCACTGACGTGAATATTTAAAGCCTCTTATAAACATCATTGTTTAGGCTAATCATTCAGAAAGTCAGTCAATCAATCAAGATACATTCTATTATTTAGATATAAAGCTAGTTGTACTTGTACAGTATATTATTATATACACTGTACAGCCAGGTGGTCTTGACAAATGAAATATTTTTTGTCGTAATCAATATTTTTAAATTTGTTTTCTATATTATTTAATGTCTAGCGTGCAACACATATAATATAACATTTTTTATTTAAATTTTTTAATAAAAGAAAATATTTTTTGTCAAGTCAAGTTGATCCAGCCGTAAAAAACATTTTGAATTCAAAAAACATAAGCTTTTTTTAAATTTTTTATGAGACATTTTAAATAGGTACCTACCTACTTGTGAAAATCTAAATATTTTTCTAAAAAGTTATTACTTTTAAAACTAATGAATCTTACATCAAAAAAATTTGTCATTCATGATGTAATTATTTATATTATTATAATTTTGTTTTGTTTTAGAATGAGAATACAAATCTTAACATGGATATTTATATTTGCCTCTTTTCCAAATGTTCTGTAGTGTATCTACTGATTATATGTTTATTATAAATATTATACCCAATATCCATTTCGATAAATGTACATAATAGTTTTACGTATAAATAATAACCATAGACAAGTTAAAACAACCACTTTAGGAATGTAGGTATATTAAGAAAAGCGCGTCTGAACCAACATCAAATGATTCTAGATTATTTTAAGCTGCAATAAAAATCAGCATACGAAAATTCGGACTCAAACATACAATATTTTCAAATAATTTTTTTTATACGTATATGAGTCCGAATTTTTCTTGGAGAACTTTACATATACGACATGCATTATACAGATATAGGTATCACATCATCACAGGTAAATGGATGTAATATTTATATATTTAGCGAAGAATATCCGTAAAGAAAACTAAGAAAAAAATGATTCACTAGGCGTTGGAGAAATACTGCAGTCTATAAATGTCGAGGCAATTACCACGAAAAAATGTATTTTATTAGGTATTTTAGAGAGCGGAGAATGGCGACGAATTCAATAAGAGTCAGGAGTGGGTTGGAAACTTAATTTGAAGTACATTTGTACATGGTAGAAATAAGCTAAATAATAATTATACTAAAATTAATATTATATATTTTTTCACGAGCCACAATTTGAATATACTCTATTTTATTTTAAACAAAAATGTATAGTCATACCTATATAGTATATAGTTTATCAAAGTTCATAAGTCATAATTGTAGGGTTTATTAAATTAACAAGGTATCTACAAGCAAACGTTTTTATCCGCAATTTCCAGTCCATACTATCTATAAGTTCGTGATTTGTATACAAATTGTAAATTTTACTCTTGGACGATGGACCACATAAAATTACAATGAAAGCCACACTACGTGGCCCGACCACTATTCTGGACCATTTAGGTTCATTGCCAATTCTTCAATGTACAGTTTCCATGATTTTTGTAATATGTAGTGCCACCTCTTCTCCATTTAACACTCCAAAAGTTTTAAGGCATTTAGAAAGAAGATTTAAAAAACTCCCATCGTTGTTTACTCCATTCCCCCTACTCTTGGTCGTGTTTTTTCTGGTTTCTACAAGGTGACTGTCCGTATAATTTGGTTCTTTGCTTTCCGTATGCTGCCGGCCTATCTTATCCACTGACTCTTGAGTATGTGTACTATGTTGGGCTCGTTGATTAATTATTCAGTTATCTATTTTATCGAATCTTGGAGTCACTTTCTTTATTCCTCTTTGGGCCAAATATAGAAACATTTCTTACTCGAATATCATTAGTTTGTTTTTGTCAGATTTGGAGGATTCCAATATACCAATGCTCCTCATGCATAAAGTATAAGGGGTCTAAATCGGGGTTTTTAAAATAATATTTATTTTTTATAGTTATTAATATTACCAGCTTTTGGGATATTAAGTTCAATAAATACAGTCAAAACTAGCAGCTTATTTATAAGGTTACGCGAGTACCCGAATATTCAGTATTTATGACATTATTCAATTATACTTCATATATAAAAAAAATCTAAAAATAGTTTTTCAACTGTAAATATTGTTAATAGGTGAATTAAAATTAAAACTTTAATAACCACATAAAATATTTACATTTTTACAGTGATTTCATCAATAATTGGGAGTCTAAACTCATATAGTTATAACTAATAGCACAGTCACACCAGACACCGATTGCCAAATTTTAATTAATTGTATTTCTTATCATCACAACAATGTTAGATTTATGAGTTTTAGGTAGGTGACTAGTAGACATTTTATAGTAACCCCGACTGCAAACCACTAAATTAATATTTATCTCGTCTGATCGTTAATTTTTTTTTTAATTAGCCAAAACAAATACCTATTGGTTATGATAAATATTGAATAATATAATATAATATGATAGACTAATAACTAAAATAACCCACTATAGTATATAGTTATCATAATGCATTTCTAACTAGTGTTAACAAATGTTGACGAAGATACAGTAATCGTTCACAGTTCCACCAACACATTTTCAAACATTTCATGGCCCTTTAGCACCCAAAACCAGTGCCGCAGTTATTTCGCAGTAAACACTATAAGCTAGTGCTTAGGTCAGCAATTTCTCAAGGGCGGCAAATAATTTTTAATATTACATTTTTACTATATGTAACTATAGAACTAATTATAAAATGTTTTTAAACCAACGGGATTGTGGTAATATTTATATTTTATGTTTTCCAATTTCATAATCGTAGAGATGTATATTTTAAGTTTTCATCATTAAAATTTTAAGCCATAAAGGAAAAACTATAACTGTATTGCTTTAATAACATTTTTTAGATTAGAAAAATATTTATATTAAAAGGCAGCAAATTATTTAGTGCTTAAAGCGGCACAACGGTTAAATCCGGCACTGCCCAAGACGGAGAATTTTGGTACGTATCTACTCGGGACACGCATTGGCGGCTTTCATTTGGGCGAATGACCCAACATAATATATGTTTGGGCGAATTTATACATTTAATTTGGGCGAAATTTACATGTATCCGATGCATGTCGGAAAGCATTATTATTATTATTATATTTTTTTCTTGATTAACGAAGTTAATATACGTAAAGTAATGTATACGTAGGTATGTTACTTCCCTAATATTCAATAATTCATAAATTCGCCTAAACGATTGGTTAATTTCTCGCCCAAATGATATATGCTTTACTCAAGTAAATTTTGGGTTATTCGCCCAAATGAATCACGCCCCACGCATTACGCACCCCTACATACAAAATGAATGTACAATATGAACATAATTGTTTATATTTATTATTTATAGAGCACGTCAATTAGTTTTTAAGGTGAAAAATGATATACATTCTTTAAATAGTATTTGCATGCCGTATACATAATTAATGTAATATGATCCAATAATTGAAATCAAATTTAGCATAGCTTATATATTTTGTATAATGTTTAAAACATAACTTCCATTTTTAAGAATACATTCAATATATATACCTATACTCTGTACATACTAAAAATAATGTAATTATTAAGTTGAATAGTATCCATAGATAATAATTATTTTATAGTATTATTAAACTCTTTAAATAATAAAAAAAAGTTGTTTATCAATTGAAAATATAGGTCTAAAAAAAAAAATACAATATTGAAAATGTGTTTTTTGATTACTGTCGTAACTCATAAGGTACTTGTTCTATGACAAAAATACATAATGGTATCTTACCAAAACATTAATTTTGCACAATTTATGCGTCTTAAATACCTACCCTATTATGATACTTTTAGTAACGATCGTGATTTTCAGTTATCTAATGTACAATGCAATACAATCCTATATTTAAGTATGTAATTACTAATTAAGTTATAGACAAGAGGTGCTATTATAGGCTATAGGTGGTATTCAAATTTCTAATGGATAGTAAAACTTAAACACTACCACCAAAGCATGTATACCTAATTAAATATTAATATTATTTTATTTCTATAAGAATAATTAATAAATAATCCAACTATGGCATACGCTATAACAAAAGTGCTTATGAAGCGGGCAGTTCAAATTTTTTCCTGGATTTAAATACTAGGCCTAATAATAAATAAAACATAATGATGTTTTTGAAACGTAATGAATTTCATGTTTTGGTGAGCTAAGCACAACGCACGCGTACAAATCTTTATCATATGTTCAATATTGCTTTAACAGCAGTTTTTACACATTGTTACGACCATCAGCTGTCGTTTCAATGTAATAACAAACAAAACAAAATCATGCAATTTTATAATCTTTATCGCTCTTGATCAAAATTAGTTTGGACATTATAAGTTTGGTCGAAATTATAAATGCTGAATATTTTATAATAATTGTATATTAAATATTAGATATATCTATAGTTATTAATTGTATAATGGCTATTTGTTTATTGGTTTATTATAATTTGTTTCGGTGAACACCGTGTACGTACATAAAGATACTCGCAAATCGTAATCATTATTAAAAAGATTCAAAATTGAAGTTTCAAAATAAAATAAACATTACATCTATATAATATTAAATATTGTACTATATAATAGATATAATAAATAAAGTAAAAAAAAAATAATGTACAAGTAGAATTTTACTATTTACACATTGATATTAATACGGTATTAAGTATTAACCTACCTATAATGAAATAATATTAGGGTCATTAGGGATGTTAAGTATAAGTATTCTAAAAAACTTTAATGTTCAGATGAATAGCATATATATAGGTATAGGTGTACAATATTATACATATAGATGAGAAACAAACAAATAAATAACTTGATGATTGCATACCTTTGCATGTCTAATTATTTAGTATTAATTTAACTTTTATAAGTAAAATATAGCAGATCAGCGAATAACAACTTTTTTTTAATTATTAGTAGGAAGGTATTCTGTTATATTTAATCTAATCATTAAGCATGTACCGAATAGCTAAAAATATATTATTATATTATTATTATGCACAATTAAATTTAAATGAATACAACCTCTTACATCTATACAATTAAAAATATATAAATATCCGAGCTGCGGTATGGATAATATGTATATCATGGGTAGGTACCTACATAATTATATATAATGGGTTTTTAAAGTAGGAAGACACTCATCTCTCAATAGGTATCATTTTTATTTTTGAATTTGGTTTTTAAAACATTTTCATTTAGAAGGTATTTTCGATTGTTATAAATATTATATTTAGTATGTTTAATTTATTCAAGACTAGCATATAAACTTCATATAATAAAGGAACAGTAAAACTATTCTTCCTTAGTTTCTCTATAACGGAAACTCCTTTATAACGAAAAAATCAGTTGGTAGTTTGGTACCGAGCATCCGAGAAATATAAGAATATAAGATAAATCATAAGAAAGTTTCATTGTACCTACTTGTATTATAGTTATATCTAATAAATTATTAGAGGTTACTTACCTAAATACGTACTGATATTATACATGCATTAAAATTATTTTTTGGGTTAAAATCACTAAACATAGGTTTTAAACTTGATATATTAACGGCAGGATGATTTTGTCATCGTGATCCAGTGGGAATGAACTAGGTACATTGGTTCTACTTTGATAATAAATTATACGAAAAAACGATAAGAAAAATATTTTGTTTTCGACGGCTTTACGTTAATAAAGACCTAAACATTAAGTGATTTTACGTATATAATTGTTTTTTATCACCAAAATCCATTGTATACAATACATAATTAATACATTTTCAGATATTTTGGCTAAATGATATTACAAAAAAAAAATCATCTGTTTATGCTATCTTTAGTTAGTAATTCATGCATTGATTAAACTATTAATATAATATAATATCATTTCATACCTAAAGTCCAGTAGTTGCCTTTTCTATCACCGCCTCCATCCCTAGGTATTTTGACAAAACACTCGTTTAACGACAAATTGTGTCTTATCGAATTTTGCCAACCTTTTTTGTTTTTCTCGAAGTATGGAAACTTAGCCGTGATGTATTTATAAATTTCAGATAACGTAACTCGTTTATACGGCGAATGTTCAATGGCCATCGAGATTAGAGCTACGTACGAATACGGAGGCTTTGAGGGCAAAGTCGTAGCAGTCTGCTGCTGTGGCTGCTGTTGATCAGTAGACGCTGGTGACCGTTCCTCAGGAGATCCCAACGATGTAACAGTATTGCTACTAACGTCACCCGTATGCACAATACCATTATTTCTAAAAGTATATATGTATATTATAAATTAAATCACACATTATTTGTAATTTATTAATAATTTTAAGAATATAATAGTTAATCGTATATACTGTAAGTCTGTTTCAGTAGGATAAATGGTCAATGGCACTAGCTCTGTAGTAGATGGTTCGTGCATAGAAATATGATGAGAGTCTTGAAAATAGTTGGGTCGTTTATCTTCACTAGTGTTGTTAGCATTTATATCTGTAGTATCATCTCCTGAGCACACACAAATCAAATCCAATTTAATTTTTACATCATATAAATATCTGTTATTTATTAGCAACAACGGTTTATCTGGGTACTCCAGTATTGTGTTAAACAGTTCCCATCCGATTTCAACGAAAGGGCACTTAGTACTTACGTAAATGTACTGACATATCAAATTGAGGATTCTATCTGCAGTTACAAATAATATAATAATTCTTGAAGTAAATACTAAATTTAAATAATATAATATACCTACCTAATATTAAATTTAATTTATAGAATTGTATCTACATTCTACAGTATAGATTCTACATAAGACGTAAATATTCTTTAAGATGTAGATTTTCAAAAAAATAATTATTATTATGAACTGTGAATAAAGTTATATCGCACGGTGTTTACTGTTTAGGTTAAAATATCAATTGTTATTTCATGAACCTGCATTATTATGTATGCCCGTTAACAACGATTTACGAAAGGTATATACCTATATAAATTATTTACGTATTATAGGCGTATATATATTTATATATAAAACAAAAAAAAGGTTCTCATAAAAACGTGTTTTAAAAACGATTTTAGATCCTGTTAAATATTATTTATTACAAAATGGCTAAATTGTTTACTTATATACATATATATTGTAACCATTATAACCTCAAGACTACAAACTGCAGCATACGCTAAAACTAACATTAAACGCAACAGGTTTTAAAAGGGATTTTTTTCGATTTTATGTCGTAAAAACTCCATGTACCAACATATACTTTTTTTAAACTAAATATTATATTTTAATATATACCATATAGGTACATACACAATACACGTAAATATAGGTTCAATATTTTTAAAATATGACGAAATTAGAACTATTAGTTAGGAAAGTTGTTAAATCACACAACTTTCCTAGTTATCGTTTATTTTATTAACAAAATAATTACTATACCTAATCGAATATGTTTTGATTGAACCATGCTCAATTTCACGAAATAAAACATGTTTACAAATTTAAGACCTACAAATGAGTGGTAAAATAGTAAATTAATTTTAAAAGATATAATATTTATATAGATCAAACTATATAAATAATACTTACAACAAATTATTCTTATACAAATAATAAGAATTCCAAAAAATAATATTTATATAAATTTATGAAAATAATCGAATAATACAATTTTATAACCAAATGTTGTCCATGTATTTTTTAAACGTTATTCGTTTATTACAAACATCAGTAATAAACATTAAAGCGCCTATAAAGAAATTTAAAATATAAAGTATTAATTCCATGTCTGCTGGTTGGCGACGTGTCTACTCAATTCGAGAAACTAGCCGTGGCGTTTAACAGATCATTAAAATGGTCCTCGTTAAGTACGCCCCTCTCCCAACACCTCTTGATCCAACTGCCGATACCTCCACCCCCTCCGGGTTATGATTGAAACGTGACGAAACTACCTTTTCTGGGCCACCTCTCTTCTATAAGTCTGTGACCCATTATTTTAAAACACTATATATAAAAAATAAAAATGCATAAAAAACCACACCTACTCACACGGGTCACTCAAGCTAACAGAAAAAAAACTAGAAAAGAAACCTAGTCAGGCAAAATTTACACACATGATTTTATATCACTTATTTTAGAAAAATTATTAATAGATAGATATACCAATGTTCGATTTACTTGTAACTATGTGCCTACTTAAAATTCCTCAAAACTACTCAATACATTTAATTACATTAGGAATTAGGATTTAGACTTTAAAGTACTTAAATATAGTTCAATATATTTCTAATATAGTGATACTTATACTACATACTACTATTGCTGAAAATTCGAATTAACTCAATAGTTATCTGTTACAACTTATAAAGATGCCTAATAATAATATATATAAATTATATAAATTCGTAGTTAAAGTTACATATTTACCAATTAATGTGTTGGTAAATAGAATAACACTTCAACCAAATGCTGTTTAAATATTTTCTAGTATAAATGTAAACTGCAGTCCATACATAATACAGTACAGTATAGAAAAGTATAATATAATACTCGTATACATTAAATGCATAAATCTATGAGAAATATTCAGACTCCGAACATCCTATCACCTAATTTAAATGGTCGTACACGTTTACGCACAAAACAATATTTTTACCTGGGATTTAGGAGAACGATTGAAAACACACGTTTATAGGTAGGTACACATTTTTTTAAATTTTACTTTTGAGTGTCGTTAACTTAACGTTACCCGGGAGACAACACGAGGAATCAACCAATAATTTATTTTTATACTTAAAAATATTTTTATTATTACATATTGTTATATCATTATAGAAAATCATTAGGTCATTCATAATTCATTACAAAGATATTAAATCTATTGAAATTGTTTTTAATTTATTTATCTGGTTTAATTTTTTTCCCACAAAAATATATTCAACATTATTTGGATCTTCTCTTATTAAAAATATTTTTTACATTACTCTTAATAGTGGATATCTTTAAAAAAGTTTTTTTTGAATTTCCATCAAGGTATTATTATATTATACTAAACAATTTGCTTGTATAAAACCGAAAATACTACCACTATTGTAGATAACGCGTATATATATTATGGTGTACCTATACCCAAACGTGTCGTATAATATATGTGTACATTGTGTACCCAAACGTTCTCTGATTTCTCAGGTAAAATCATAAAATAGCTTTTATTCGATGTGCCCAAACGTATTGGCTTTTGGGTTAATGTACCCAATAACGTTCTGCGCCCATTTAAACTCGGCTAAATTTTGAGATTCCGATTAGGTAGAAACCATATTTTATGATTTTCATGTTATGGGTTTAACTAAATTGGTTTAATTTTTAATTGTACCTACAAGTAAAGGCTAAACATTTGACTTTTGCTTTCTCAAAAATAGCTACGTACTTCTGATACATTAAATAATTTATACTTAGCACTTTTAAAAATCCTTACCGGTAACCTTCAGGCTTAAGTTGTTATAACAATTATTAGGTGTACCTACCAATAAAAAAAACTTAAAATAAATATCAATGTACATATTATAATGAATCTTACCTCGCATTGAAGTATTTTGTTCGGTGTAAAAACAATCCTCCTGAACATCTTGAAGGTAGGTCGTTTCGTTTTTAATATTATTCTGAAATAGATTTTTAATTATATTACAATAACTTTAAAATATGACTTTATAATTTACAGATTACGTTAAATGTACTTTATAAATTCGAGAAATTTAAGTAGGTACCAACTTAAATTAAATACAATTATTGTAATTGTTGAAAATAACGTATAAATACAAGTATGATTTATTTTACAAAATTCATATATTAAACAACTAGGAAGTATTAGAGATAACTAAAACCTCGATAACTCGAATTTTTCTTGGTAATTGAAATGTTCTGTTTGGAGGTATACAACTCAAAAAGAAAAAAATACGTAAGTTGAATTTATTTTTATTCCTCTTGAGATTGAGACCAGGGACGGATCCAGGGGGTCTAGTGGCCCAGACCCCCCCCCCCCAGACATATTATTTCCCAAATGTTGTTAATAATTCTACAGATCCTGATATTACTATATTTCAAATCACATGTATATCTGATAACATAATATATTATTACAGGTATCATTCTGGGGTACATAAACTAAGATAGTACTATCTTAGTTTATAATGGAAAGTGCTTCAAGTATTGTAATTTTATATTAACAAAAAGTTGATGGCCCCCTCCCCAGATATTTGCTCAGGATCCGTACCTGTGTTCGAGACTATATACCTGTAGTTACTTGAGAAGAGGGACACCAAATAAATTTAAATTGAACTGAATAATAAGCTAATTACGGATCTTATTATGTTACTAAGTATTTATTTGTAATTAATAGTTAACTTAATTTATTTACTGACTCACGTAGTCACATATTGTTATTCAAGGGTTAGGTGATAAATATAATATAATCATAATCAAAACAATATTACTTTTTAATGGGTAGAGGTTTGATTAAGCAAACAATTGTTTACATTTTTTTTTTAATTTGCACATGCCAGGCAAAATTGTTTATAGAACTACGTAAGAGAATAATAAACTCATAGCTTCCTGGTTGAACAGCTCGGTGCTCTCTGCAGTATAACTGTACAAGCATCATATTTCTTTGAAATAAATAATATAAGTTAAGCCGAAGGCAGCTATTTAAATAAAAAGAGATGTGTTAAAATGTATCAAATGATTTTCTTAATATATACGTATGTTTATAAGTAAACTATTTTATTTCTGTACCTTGGAAATGTATATACATACCTATTTGTTTATTAATAAAATGATGAATTTGTTTTATTTTGTAATTTAATCGTTGGTTAAATTATTTAGAAATATTTCGTATAATAATTTTAGTCATAATAATATATTATATGAAGGTATAAAACTATTATTTAATAATTGTTTATTAGGTACAATTATAGTTTATAAAATATATTAAAATGCTTTTGTCTAAAACAATAAGTACTTCAAAATATTTTGAGAGAGTTACTTATAATTAAACTCCTGACATATTATGAAAGTACGAAAGGTTGGGATAAGATTAACGTCTTTAGCAGTTTAAAGCATTACATATGAGTACATCGATTTTTAATTTTTTAATATCAATAAACAATAAACATTGCAGTTTTTAAATCGACTTGATTATTTAACGATTTTCAGAAGTAAAATAATAAAATATGAAAAAACATGTACTTACACAAATTAATGTATAAAATAAAATATGTATGATTTAAAATTTAAACATTATTTTTAAAAAATCTATAAAAACTATTTAATATTAATTGAATGTTTAATGAAAAAATTATTTATATAAATTTTAATAATCCTATATTCTTTAATTTAAAAGCACATTATACTGCGCATACGAAATATTAATAACGAAGTCATCGTACAAAATGTATAGGTATTATCACTCATTTTAAACTATGTAACACAATAATATGTATACTACTGTAGTACCGTATATACCTCAATAGCATAAAATAAATTGTAAATATTTGCGAATTCGTTGGGACTGCTGTATAATGTTTTCAGTTTATCTCATCATTGAGTTATTATATTAGACCTCTCAAATTTGAAGTCAAAAATAAATAATATTAAGTAGATATATACGAATAAAAACAATTGTGAGCAAAGCAGACAGGTGAATCAGTATCAGCTATTTCTCTAAGAATATTTGATACATTTATAATAAATATATATTACTTTGAGTGATTAATTTTTCTATTAATAGGTCCTTCAAAATCAATGGTTATTACTTATTAGCCTTCTTTTGCTTAAAATAAATACAAGTTGTATTATAACATAATATCTATACTAATTATAGTAATTACCAGAACCAACACTTGTATGCATTTGCATATTTTTATTGGTTGGTCAAAAAAATAGCTAGTTTATACCAAAATTTGTTTCATAACCTAACAATTCTGTATTACTAATTAGTAATTACTATTATAGATTTATAGCTATTTACTAATTATAAGTAATAACTAATAAGTCAATACACCGATGTACCTACCGTATATAGAATGGTGTGAATAGGTTCGTAGTATAAATAGCTTAAAATTAGTCTAAATATTATTATAAACATAATCTAAACATTTCATTGTGTATGTCAAATAATTATTTATGATTATTTATGATTATTAACAGTTTTAAGTCCCCAGCCCATTATACAAATTAAAACCTGTGAAATTTATATCTGTGGTATTAATATTTAAAATTGAATGAATTATTAACTACAAAATAATTTGAAAATGTTCGTGGTTTTGACGAATTTTGTGTCAAAACTTTAACTTTGAACAAAACAATAAAAAAAAATTGCAACAAAATGTTTTTGGTATTTTGTATCTGCTGTTAAAACAATTTATGAAAAATCTTGCATTACGTTTTTAAACTTTCAAACTTAAAATATTAAAAATATTTTTAAAATTATTTCCGAATTAGGAAATAAACTCAGAATTGTTTACTTTTGAACAACAAAGTACATATTATACACCTAGTTAAAATGTTTTACCTTAAGAAACCTCCGTCAAAATTGAATCATTTTTCTATTCCAAAAATGAATTAGTCATCAGACACAAAAAGGACATTGTATAAGGTATAACCAATACATTCATTGTTCCACTCAGAATCTTACATATAGAATACATTCTTCATTTCTTCATTATATTAAATCGTGTAACACATAATAGTATAATATATTTTACTCTAGATTATATTTTAAATTATACAATTGTAAATTTTAATTAAATTAGAAAAATACAAAATGTACTTTACAATTGTATATTATTAATAGCTAAACTTTTCGTTAAAATGTATATACTATAAGATTTTTTTTTAAAATATTTTATTATTAGTATCTATACCTACTATTGTATAGTTGATTACAATGCTTTTATAGAAGAATATTTTTACTTGAGAGTACATTCATATTTTAATCTATTATAAGAAAATAATTTCAAAAATGTAGTAGCTACTTAAATAGATAAATAGATGGACAGAATTAGTGAAGGTTGTTCTCACAATGTTACACAATAGGTAGAAATAGTGTTTGAAATTTGCTGTTAGTAATAATATTTGTATATATATTTTATAAACAACATGACAAAACCTTAGCTCCAATATTATCATTTTCTTAGATCCGGTTACTGTGTATGTAAGTACTATACTGTGTGATTTTTTGATTTATTAATAAACATTAAATATTATCCATTATACACATGAATTGGTATGAGATGTAAATAAAAACATAATATAATATACATGTAAATGTATGCACATTCAAATTTTACTTTGTACATTCTCATACTTTAATAATATAGTGCTCAATAATATTAAAGTAACTTAACTTTAAATAGTTGAAGAAAATGACTAATTTTCCCAGATTTATTGATGAGTTATATATTTATTTACCTAATAACACAACAAAGTTAAAAAGTTACATAGTTTTTTTAAAGTTTTTTCAAGTATAATGCTCTAATTATGTAAACTTTATTTGAGTTTCATAACACCATGAAGAGTTGATCATCATTTTATTTTAAATTTAAAGTGATTATCAACATTTACGTAATAGTCTTATGAAACCTAAATAATAGTTACAGAATTGAGCAAAATTGTATAAAAAATAATTTAAAAACTATGTAATATTTCAAATTTGTTAAGTTACTAGGTAAATTCATGATAAAAGCTTGCCAGGTAAAGCCCCCCCCCTTAAACACGGCAGAGGTGGCGGTATAATTATTTTGTCTTCGCGGTGCCGCCGTGGTGGTGGTTAATTTTGTCCGTTTGACTCATTTTACAGCCTCCACAGCAGCGAAAGAACCTTAAGCCATTTTTTTCATCAAGTTAAAGTTAAGTTCCTTTAATACAAAAATGAACTAATTTCGAATATTAGTTAGTTTCTGAAATTGTCCAAATGTTTAACTTAGCTTGGGACAAATATTATAATTATATAAAGTTATACGTTTAAATAAATATAATAATAAATAGTATAGTATTAAACAACTACTGATAATTTGATCAAATGTTTCAAGCAGGTAGGTAATAAGTAATAACTAACAACCTTAATTTCTTGGAAACGAATTGGAATATTAGAACATAGGTCATAGAATGCCTACAGCAAAGTAAGAAATATACAAACAGTAAAATACTTTATTCGTAAATGTATATCTGTTGGCCGTTATAATAATATTATAGTCGTGGTTAACGTGCATTGCAAGAAATATCACTAATATAAATAATTGATAAGAAATAATATGACAAGAAAAATGTTTTTATCATAAAATTGAAAATGCTGAATATTCAATATTAATAAATTATGATCACGACTATACATACTAATATTCAGTACTCAGCAGTTTTAAAAAACATTTGGATTTTTGGAATAAAAAAAAACTACAAAAAAAACTAGTAACAATATATTGTTTTTAATGAGTTAAATTACTAAGTTATTATGAAATCAAACTAACTAGTCAAGTTAGAAAGTTACTTAAAAGTAACTTTCTTATTTAACTTTAGTTTTAATTTTCTAACTGTATTATATTCTTATTTCTATTATAGTTCTATTGTATGGACCTCTAGTACCTATAACAATTTAGTAGTATTTGTACACTACTACACTATAATACATTTTTTGTGAATTTTTTGCACGAACATGAATATTTTTAAACTGTGTAGGTGGTAAGTGGATATAAAAAGGTTGAGAATCGCTGAGCCTTAATGATTATGTCTATATATGTCGTGCTAAATTAAATCTATTAAAAATGTGATCATAAATATTAAAATATACATATAATATGATTATTATATTTATACACACAAAATAAAATACAATTTTTCAATGATAAATTATGCATTTTTAATGAGGTAATCTTTTAGTTCGTTGTTTATAATGTTTATAATAATAGATCAACCATAAAAAACTTTGTACAGTGAGTGCATTATGGTTTTAATGATATATCATGATATCTATGTCACGTGCGCTATAGCACGAATTTTCAGAAAATAATGTCGACCGTACGCTTTGAACAAATTGAAAAAAAAATGTATACTCCTGGCTAACATATTTGGATAGGACGTTTCGTAATAGACACAATGTGATGATGTCACTGCTGTAATATGAATTGTATTGTGTGTCTAACAAGTCATACTCGCACGCAGCTAAATTTTTTCATAGAAAACTGAACGAAAACCATTTCTAAAATTAGGTCCATTTGAACTCTATATACGTTTTATTTTGGAATAATTTCAATAACAACCCATCAATTTAATTGTTACTAAAATACACTACGTTATCGGTTCTTTCACTCTATTTTTAAGATATCGAATGCAAAAAACATGAGATTATCGATAAGAAAATAGGAAATAATATGTAAACGTTGATAATATTATGGCGGTTAGTTTATTTTGATTTTCCTTTTCTAATTACGCATCAAGGTTTTACAGTTTGAAATACATTTTAATGAAGTTAAATTATTAGTAACGCCACTAAAACCATCTTTTGATTTTACCAGAAATATAATATAATGTGAGGACATATTAAGGATATTGGATGATATACGGGTAAGATACATATAATATATAATAATATAAATACATTAGGTATAATTGTATAAACATTAAAAATAAAGAAAAAAATACATATATGTACTATAACCATCTTTTAAGTTATTTACATTGTTTAATCTATACAATATTATTATTATAATATGAGCTAATGAATATTGACGGTAGGTACTAGGTAGGCACCTCGTATTTATAATGATTGTGTTTGATTATTAATATCAACATTTTAATTTATTATCAGTAGAAAAATTATCTATTTATTGTTATTATTAGGTATAGCGTACAATATTTTATTTAAAATTACATTTTTCGCATTCTACAACCTAATATGAATATCATTTTGCGTTGTAACAAACGTCAAATTGTATTCTCGCACTTACAACTGTCATACATACAGGTACAACTATTTTTAACTAAAAAATATACCGACCTACTGTCTATTATGCTACAACCTGCTTCATAAATGTAACAAATAAAAACAATGAAAACTAAAAAAAAAACCATAGAATAAAACATTTATATAGGTAGGTACCAAAATATAGGTAAGTATAGGTAAGTTAATCAAAAAAATATCTTGTACAGTATATACTAAGAAGTATATACTATACATACATCTTGAAAACTAATATTTTTCCATACAAGATATTTTTTGATTTTTAATAACTGAACAAGAATTTCAAGAATTTTCTAAGAAAAGTATAACTATTGAACAAAGACATTCAGTATTAATCACTGTACCTACTATTATCAACAAATAAAAATATATTTTACAAACTAATATTTACATAGACATAGGTACACGAATCTCATTTACAACTATAGCCTATAGGTATCTAGAACGCAACCATTCGAAGATTATAAACATACATATTATATAGCCGTACCCATCTACTAATATTTTAGTTAATATCCAATAACACTTCGTTACATTTAGAGTTTATATAGTTAACTACTTAACTAGTTAAGTGTCGTACCAATGTTATATGTTTGTAAAATATGATCTACTGAGCGTTATGACTTTAATTAGTATAGGTACTTACTCGGTCTTTGGAGTGTGTGTCAAAGTTGTAGTTCTCTGCAGTTGTACCGGCCAAATCGCCGGAGCCCGAAAAGTAGCTCATATAAAATACTCCTGAGGTGTTCAAATCTCTCGAATTGAGCCCGAAAGCTGCGCGATTACCGGGATGGGGGGGGGGGGGGTAAACTGATATTATAATATAATAATATAATAAGATATATATTTATAAAGAAATTATGTATAAAGAACGTACAAAATCCGGCCAACTGCTCAGTGTGATCCGGCTTGGACGTATTATATATTTAAATATATACCTAAGTATATACGATGTATAAGTAGGTATAATATTACCTAAGTATACCAGCTATTGAAGGTACAGGTAATAGATAATGATCATTGTTTGCAACGCGTAGGGTCCGTGACCGCAGATGCTAAAGCTGTTATTATCAGAAGATCCATTTCGTCGTGAAGGGCGGGTCGAATTTGCGGCGTTCGAAAGTCGTTAAAAATATACACCACTGGTAACCAAACGGACGCAGGATATACCACGAATACGCAACGGGATTAACTGGCGGTCACACTTTCGTCGAGAAACGGAAATATCTGACTGAAACCTACGGCGGTGGCGTGGTGTGGAGGAGGAGAAGTCGTCACTGATCGTAGCTCGTTGTGGATATAGTGGTGGTGGTGGCGGCGACGGCGGCGATTAACCTCGGCGGGTGGACTCGTTACCGCGAAGACTTCACCAGGGTGAGTGAGCGGGTGCACGTTCTCGCCGAGCGACTGTGCCTACACACACTGCCTGCGCCGGGCACGCACTCATTGGGCGAGACCCCGCGCTGACGTCACCGCCCACCAGACTGGACATTGGCAGCGGCGGCGTCGACGCCCCGGCGGACGACCGCGTCCACGACGACGACCCACCGTGGTGCGTGCGTGCGTGCGACCGACCATCTGAGTCGGCATAATTATTTAGGCTATACGCGGTCTGTCTCACTCACCACAATATATGCGTACGTACACACATTTTTTCGATATTTTTTTCCCCCGTTTACTAGTTCCCTATACCTACTTTACATTTGTAATAACTAATAACGATTAAAATAATATATGTTGTACTTTATAGTTGAATACAAGATTTTAATTAATATGCAACAAGTATAATATTATTTTTTGTATTTATATTTATACAATATACCAGGTACCTACCTAAGTATATTATGTAGCTATATATAGATGACTTACAGTGCACCCTAAACCCCTATCATCGATTTACGTAAGTACCTACATAGTACATATATATACTTATATGTAAGATATATACATTACATATTTATCTCACACATACTTAGTGGCTAGTACACATATAACAAAATATTTGAAACAAATCGACCCCTTGGGATTTAGCACAGAAATCTCGCATGAGACATGTTCACATTTGTTGATACATAGTGGAGTACCCTGGAAGGGCTAAGGCCCCCCATTGGCCATGTTATGGTATAATTCTTATATAATAAAAGGCAAAGTGTACAGACCATGATATTTCTGAAAACGATTTTATATCAATATTATTTATAGGGAATAGAGATTATTATTGTTACCGAGATACAGTAATAACGGCCTAGTATAAGGTAATAGATATCAAATTCTGATTTACACTGTGTAGTCCCCCTCCCCCCATAGAAGAATCCTGGCTACGCCACTGCTTAAATAGTCTCTATATGATGTATACATTACATATATAAATTTTAGGCTATAAAAATATGACATAAAATGGATAGATAAATATAAATTGTAGGTATTATTGTATTAATGTATTATAAATGTATTCATGTTTAATATATATGGTGTGCGAGTGTTCACTATTCATCAATCAGTCACTAATTGGAAGACACTATTTTTTATCTAATATCTAATGATGAGCCACCACCAGGTACATAATACCTATAAAAAAGTTTGCTACAATGATCTCTACTTGTATGCAAATCAGTTATAACTGCAAATGTAGAACAATCAAAATACGTAAATAGATACCTCATACCTACAATACTTTTCCTTTAGTTCGAAAAATAATATATAATACAACAAATTAGATTAGATATATACAATAGAGTAAGAACAATTTGGTCAGAAAAGAAATAAGTATTAAGTACCTAACTGTTATCTGTTAATCTACAGTCAGTATCCACGTAGGTAATTGATACATTTGCTTAGTCGTGAATATGGCAATGAGGTCATTTCAGTATTTTGTTAGGATGTACTTATATCATGTTTTTAAATTTAGATTATATTAATTCTAGTTTTTATTTATTTTAGTTTTGGAAAAAATAGAAATATTTTAATAATCAAAAGACGTAAATTATTATGTTAATAATATAAATATACCTATTAGCTACGTATAAACGCATAAAGAATACATATAGCGGAAATTGTTGTTAATTCGACAATTTAAAATGCTACTACCTTTATATAATAAGGATTGAAACAAAGTGGTATCGGTAATATTCGGTATATTACTTGTAAGTTATAAGTTAATATAGTTGTAAATTATAATATATAGCATTTTTGCATTGCTACAAAAAAATAGAGCTTATCAACAGACACAAATTACGCTACTATTCCAGCTGAATATCCCAATCAGTTGCCAATTTGTTACAAAAGGTTACTTAGGTACCTATATATTTAAATTATTTAGATATATTCATTGGTACCTTACCTATAGATTTTAAAAGCAATCTTTCTTTCCATTGTATACAGACTAAGGATATACATAGTACTGTTACCCTCAATTTTGTGTTATATATTATATACTTATCTAAGCGACTTTGGTTTTATAACTTGAAAACCCTATTCCTACTCCTAAAGCTAAAACCTACTACACGAGTTAACATAATGATTCGCCAAACATGCTCACCCCTTTTTTTCTTTAATGCATAGTTACTCCAAATCTGATATTTGAAATGTTCAAATATACTTAAAGATCACATTTAAAAGTGTTTGAAATTTTTAGTACTATTTAAGGAGTGTCCTATAGAGATACAGACTTGGTTTTTTTTTTAAAATAAGAACCCCTACATTTACCTTCTATAAATTATTAAATGGATAATTGTTCTCAAAAATGATTTGATTTACCTGCAAAATCAAACTTTGAACGAGTATTTTTTAGTTATTTAAATGGCCCTAAGAAAATAAATACTAGATGTCTAGTTCCAATATTACATCTACTTAAATTGTTGTAAAACCATTTTTAAGGACTATTATCCTTATTAGTACAAACTACAAACATTTCAACAACTAAAAAACTGTTATACTTGATCGAATTTTGAATTAAGTACATATAAATGTTTAAATGTTATAAAAAATTGTCTATTAAATAATTTACCGTGAAAAAAAGCATTCTCATTTAAAAAAAAAAAATAGAACTTTGTGTCACCACAACACTCTTCAAATAATATAAGAATCTCAAGAATTTGAAAATTAGGTGTATAGATTGCCTAATATCTAATACAGCTATACGTAAATGTAAACTGAGTCAAAATTGTTTTTAATGCTACGAAACATTTAACACTATCCAAATTCCAAAGGATAAAATCACGACAAACGGAGTTAAACAGTTTTATTATACGTATCTACTAGTATGTCACACCTTTCAAAAATGTTTCGTTTTTTAATTTCATTACATTTAAAGCCATATATTTATTAAGCACAATGTAACTTAAAGGTTTCAAGACTGAGTGCATCTGTGCATGGACTAGAATAGTTGGTCCACTCCACTCTACTCTATAATACCTAACTAAAAACTATGTTTATTTAATATTTTAATTAGATACCAGACATTTAGACATTTAGTAAACTATATTACACATTTTGCTATTTTTGTATTTTCAAACTTGTTTTAGCATCTTTTTAGTTTTAACACAATAAGATATTCATGTTTTGGTTGAATCGGGGTCGACTTTTTATTGGTGCATGCCAAGACCAACTTTTATTTTCCATACCTACATATTAAATAATTAAATTCTTAAGAATTATTTTAATCACAAAAATATGTTTTTTTTTAAATTCATTTATGTTTTTGATATATAAGTGCTTGGTGCTCTATTATTATTTGAATAAGTACAGATTTTATGTATACCACACATACATTCAAAGCAAAAAATACAATAACCAGTATGGTATAATCATATAACGAAGGTTAGAGAAATATTGTTAGAAAACCATTATTTATTATTGTTTACGCCAAGTGATAGTTTATAAGATATGATTCAGATAGGATAAAACTAATTTTATTGGTTCATTTTAACATTTATATGTTAAACCTAGATTATTTATAGAAAATTACAAATATTTGTATAATTGACCTAGTTTGCAGTAATTTGACCTAATTGTTGATTGCAAAACAGTGTATACGATTACTTTAATTTGAAACTGACAAAAAAAATTAGAACTAAAAAAAATAATCAACAATAACAGAGCCTTGTAGAGTATTGTGATGCGAAGATTTTTGTCCGATGACACACTAACCTAGTTGTTGGACAAACCATATACATGTTATTCTTTATATGTGTGTAAGCCTATTTTAATTTTATCGCTAAATCAGCGAAATATTTCTATGTATTCTAATAACGCTATGTCAGTTTTTAATTTAAAACCTTCAATGTGTTGCTATTCAAATTATACATTGCGGGTGTTAATTTTTGTAATATATAATATATTATTATCACACTGTACAGTGTACAGTAATAGTTGTCGAGTTAAATAAAAGTTCTACAGCTTCTAGTAAAGATTCTATGAAAATTGGTCTGTTGATTATGTTGTAGCAATTAAATGTAGCTATATATACTACATAGGTATTCATTCAATTAACAATAGGGCTATTAGTCATTACTCATTCATTTATATTATTCAAGTTTAACGAGTTTCCATTTCAAACAGTTACCCTCATCCTTCACTCTAAAGCGTAAATGTTACCGAATTTTTAACCTGCAGATATATACAGTGGTCAAAACTCGAATTATAAAAATAAAATCAAGACGTAATGACCTCGTATGGCTCATTATGCTATCTGTGAGAACGATATTAAAAATCAGCATATTGATTATC